AGGTCCCCGGGCCCGGTCCAGGTCCCCGTCCAGGTCCCCGGGCCAGGTCCCCGTCCAGGTCCAAGTCCCTGGGCCAGGTCCCCGGCCTGGTCCCTGGGCCAGGTCCAGGTCCCGGTCCCCCAGGTAGTGTGTACCTACCCTGTTGGTCAGCTGAAGCACTGTGGGACACCAGAGCAGAGACTGCTGGGAAGGTGATGGAGGACATTGCTGCTACCGTCCCTGCCGCCCACATCATCCTGACAGACCAGGACAAACAAACAAACAAACAAACCATCATCTATGACATCATCAACGACGTCGTCATCAGATTTCAAAATAAAACAGATGGATGGTGTGAACGGGACTCACCAGGGCTCAGATCCGAAGCCGTACCAGGTGAGCTGGAACAGCTGGAAGCCTAGGCCCAGTAGAACTGTGTTCTTATTACCGATGGTCCTCATCAGAACACTGAGGAAAAGAGTCTGAATCGTGTGCACACACACACACACACACACACACAGACAATAAAGGGTTAATGTAATTTGGGTAAAGGCATTAGCTAACCTCACTTAGCACTGGTTTTTGGACTAACTTGGTACTGGTTTTTGGGCTAATCCACTCACTGCTGTGGAAACTATCGGATAACAACACCAGGGAAAAATATTCTTCTAAAATCAGCCACGACCTCTGATCTCTGAAGTACTTTCTTTAAAGTATCACTACACATGAAGAAGGACCTGAAACCTGGACCTGATTCCTCAGACCGGCCAACGACTGCAAAAAAATCCGACCGGCGAACGTCACGTACCTGTGCGACTATGGAGAGGATTCCAACCATGGCGATGTAGGCGGCGATGGCTGCAGGAGAAAATTCGATCACCTGAAACACAAACAGTAAAACAAACTTTACGCTGCTCCGGTCGAACCGCTGTTGTCCGACTGTTATCTGGGTCGACGTGACGTCAGGTGAGCACAGGGCGCAGCTCTCTCTTTGTTATATAATTATTGCTGATCGTCAACTAATTAAAGGTAACCGAGCAACCAGGTAGTTTGACTAGTCACCGTGACGACGGGGAGCAGCAGGTGAACAGGATGTGTGTTCCGGGTAGAGCTACACACTTCACATCTGCCTTACGCACAGAAGGTCCTGGGTTCGAGTCCCGGAGGAACCACATACTCAATGGCGCCTTCTGTGGCGGCTTGTGTGGGTTGCATGGTGGGACTTGAAACAAAACTATGGTACGATTTTTATTCATTATTCAAAATAAGATTCCGTCCCATACCACGAGTGGGAGGGCGAACTGCAGTTTGAGAACCACCGGGCTAGGGAAAGCACTGTGTCCAAAATGTAGTCATCACAAGATGCCAAATACAAGTATGTGTGTGTGTGTCTCACCTGTCTCAGGTAAAGGAAGAAGCTGGAGTACTGTCCAGCCTCGGGCAGGTACGACAGGAACACGGTGACGCAGATGAGCAGCACCGTGGTGTCCTTCCCCACGCGGCGCAGGGACTGGGGACACAAACGGAACAGGTGAGTTCCAACAAGGACCGGGTACAAAATAATCCGGGTGACCTTTGACCCCAGGCTGTGGAGTTTTTGGGGTAACTTAGTACTGATTTCTGGACTAACTCGGGACTGGTTTCTGGACTAACTCGGGACTGGTTTCTGGACTAACCCGGTACTGATTTCTGGACTAACCCGGTACTGGTTTTTGGACTAACCTGGTACTGGTTTCTGGACTAACCCAGTACTGGTTTTTGGACTAACCCGGTACTGGTTTTTGGACTAACCTACTACTGGTTTCTGGATTAACTTAGTACTGGTTTTTGGACTAACTTGGTACTGGTTTCTGGACTAACTTGGTACTGGTTTTTGGACTAACCCGGGACTGGTTTGGACTAACTTGGTTGGTACTGGTTTCTGGACTAACTTGGTACTGGTTTTTGGACTAACCCGGTACTGGTTTTTGGACTAACCTACTACTGGTTTCTGGATTAACTTAGTACTGGTTTTTGGACTAACTTGGTACTGGTTTCTGGACTAACTTGGTGTTTTCTGATCATGAACTCACAGCGAAGGGATCGGCCTGCTCCCAGGAGATGGGAAACCCCCAGGACGTCAGCCTCCTCTTGTCCGGCAGCGACTCGGGAACGACGAAGAACACGAAGGCGATGTCCGCCACCGCGATCACCGTGGCCACCAGAACAACCAGGCTGTCCCCGTACTTGGCCGACAGGTAGGCGCCGATGGCGGGGCTGGTCACCAAACTGGCGGCGAAGGTCGCTGAAACCTAAAGGGGTCAGCGTATGAGGACACCGGGTCTCCGAATGACCCGGTGACCTTTAACCTCCAACACCTTACTCTGAACTCACCAGGCCGTACGCCGTGCTGCGCTCGTGCTCCTCCGTGATGTCGGCCACGTAGGCGAAGATCACCGAGAACGTTACGGCAAAGATTCCCGAAACGGATATCAGCGCGAAGTACCACCTGGACGAGAGGAAAAAGGAACAGAAAGGTTCAACCTTAACCTTAGGAGGAGAGGAGGTGGAGGGGGAGGAAGGTGGGGGAGTAGTGGTAGGAGAAGAAGCAGCTTAACTCCGCTTCATTTACCCAGAGTTCCTTGCTGCCTGTCAAACAGACCACATGCCCCGGGACCTGGAATTCCACCATCTGATCACAAGCCTGATCCTTTCATTAGGCCAGGCCCCCTTCCCCCTCTCCTGACCCGCCCCCCAAAACATGTGACCAATCCCAGTTTGGGATCTTTTTAACATCAGCTGGTCTCAAGCACAGCCTGGAGGACAGAACTGTTGTGTGGAACCGATGCGTGATCTCGACGAGCACGACAACAGGAACTGTTTCGGAAACTCGATCGGTTCTGTCGAATCGAGTCAGAAAAATTAGTCGATTCCAAATATCCTCAGCCGCTCACATGGCCGCCATGTGATTGGTCAAACTTTGTTAGTCGGCCATATGAAAAAACCCAGATCCCAGCAGTGGTCGGTGCAGACACAACAGGAAGTGGGAAGAGTTCCGTTCTTTACGGAAACATCGGAGAACACTGTCGGTGTCTACGGAACGAGTCCTTCCCACTTTCTGTTCCGACACCTAAACGTCTCTCAGACCATGCAGGGACCTGACGTCTGGGTTTAACAAAGGGTCACGGCCATTGTTTTTAGGCGTATACCGCCACCTGCTGTACTGGAGGGTGTACTGTCATGGTACGACCAGTGACTTTTTTGAGATAACGCAGTCAACAAACAACCACAAACCACGAACGACAACATTCATCTCACCAAGGACTGATCCTCATAAAGGGAATGGGCGCGCTAGTGAAGAAGACGGTCATGAGCAGGAAGGACTTTCTCCCCCAGATGTCGGACAGAGCGCCAATCAGAGGAGCCGACAGGAAAGACAAGAAGCCCTGCGCACAAGAACAAAATTAGCATTGTAGTTTTTTTAGATGTTATTACATGTTGTTTCTTGGTAATACAAAGGTACAAATACAAATTAATTTAGCATAAAAACTTTCACGCAAATGACTTTCCAGTGTTTGAGCTCTGCTAACACCCAGAGATGTTCTCAACAAAGGAGCGGACATGTCAAACAGGTTGAACATAAGTATTGTTTGTTCTACATTAATCCAATAATAAATTAACATTAGCATTAGCTTCCCTAGCAGACGTAGGTGTGTTTACAAAGTTGTTTTGTTTTTTGTGTCACCGTTCACATTAGCATTACCTTCACTCCCTGAACCAGGCCGTTCATCAGGAAGGTGTGCTGAGGAAACGTCTCGTGGAGGACCTGAAACAACAGCTGCGATGTCAGCGAAGGTCACGCAGACAGACGCCGGCCCATACTGTGCAAAACAATGCGGCGTCCGTTGTTTGTGTACTTACGGTCAGCATGGGTGTGGTCAGCAGACCCCAGGCGAAGAACTCCAGGAAGATCACCACCACGGCGTGCGTGACCCTGGCCCGACCTCGCCCGGGCTGCAACCAGAGAAGAAACCAAGTATTGACGTCTGGGGGGTTCAACCCTCACTTCCTTCCTGCGATAATGTATTTTTTAATTTTTTTAAAGTGTAAACACCTGTGAAGGCGCACGACAATGAACGTCATCTGTGATTAGTGACGGACGTCATCGCGATTTCAAAATTTTTGGTTTGGCCATTTACGTGCGCCTTCAAAAAAGGTGTTTACGCTTAAAAAAAAAAAAAAAACATTATCGCAGTTTTGCAAAATAAGTGATAACCGTCTTGTACACCTCTCGTCGATGATGTCGATATTCGTTTCCTAGACCGTGGACGAATGTGACCACCAAAAAAAGCGTTTCAGTGATTTTTCCGTTCTCCGATTCAGAACTGACGACATCAGGGCACAAAACGATGCATGTTTTTTTTTTTCTTTTTACAACACGGTCCCTGAGATATTTTATTACATGTCGACATGTTTAATTCCGCAAGAACTTCAATTTCACTCACATTCAGCAGCTGTTTCCACCCTGAGCCGTAGCTTTTTTTCCGCTCTCGCACTAAGTCAAGACATTAACAACCGTGACGTCAAAGGTATTTACCATTTATTGATAAGAGTATTGTCTTCCTTGTCATCCAAAACCTTTGACCCCATCGTTCCAGGCATCACGAATTATTGTTTACCTACCGTACTTTAGTCATTAATAAAACATAAAGTCCACGTATTCGTTTTTGGGGCCAAATACTTGCTTAAATCGTGAAATTATAATTTATTGTGTTGTTGGTAAGTGCATTCGTTATTTCTGGAAATTAATTTCGTACATCTCCTCTTCTGTCAATAAGCGTAAAGGTGAAAAAAACAACGATGCTAGCGCTTCTTACGTTCACGACAACGTAAAGAGCTAACGTGAGAAAGTATAGGCAAATATTATCTACGGTCAACTTTAACTAACCGGCTGACGAAAGTGCAACTTCGCGAGTTTGACTTCGTAATTACTAACTGTACCTACGTCGGTGAATTAGCTGCTAGCAGCTAACAATGTTTGTTTTTTTGTTTGTTTTTTTTCTGTGGTCAATAACTCCTTTTAGAAAAAAGGCCAACCGCTGACAACAATCTTTGACATTTGTTCTAATGGCCGTTTTAGCCTGCGGTGCTAACTCGCTAACACTTACCGAGACCCGGACCAACATGATGTCGTTGGCCTCGATCGCTGATTTCTCCCGGTTCATCTCACATCTTGCCGTGAGGATCCTTACATCAGGTCCGCGTTGTCCGGAATCCTCCTGTTGTGTCTCCGTATCTTCCAGGGTGTCCCGCCGTGTAGGTTATAGCTACACCACTGTTACCATAAGCCCGTAATTTACCTCAACCTGTCCGTCCGTCCGTCCGTGAGCAGCCGCGGACTGCCGTCTCTTTTCACTCAAATTCCTCAGCTTTGATTGTAGTTCAACATTTTTGCAACGTTGGTTTCCCTATCGCAATCTCCCGCGCGAGCGGTTCCGTCTACCGGGATACTAAGAGTTACCTTTTAAACTACACAAACACCGCCCCGTATGTGTTATCCGTTTGAGCAAAACGAACGCACTGCCTCCGGCGGCTCTTCACCCGCGTTCTCAGGTCAGTGTTTATTCAGCTTCAAAGGCCCTCGCCACAATTACAAGCTAAGGCATCTGATTCTAGATCAGTACGCGTCGTATACGTGTGTCACTTCGTACGTTCTCAAGATGACACACACGCCGTCTGCTGGACTTTTCCGTGAACTACAATGCCGTGAGTGTTGTACCTCGGGTCGCCAATGACGCACGTTTTGGTTTATATGTATGTATGTTAGCTTAAAAGGCTTGTGTCCGTTTCGTACGTAAAACGTTGTGTTGTCGCTATTAAACCCATTTGGCGGGTAACCAATGAAATGACTCACTATTCGTGAGAAAAGAAAAAAAAACTAAATATAAACCGCTCGACCGACGTTTACTGCAATGCTATTTAGCAGAAGCTAAAAAAAGGGGCGGGGTCTGGCGGCACATTTTTGCCGTCATTGCAAACCTGCTCGTCGTGTCAAGACACCGAGTTTCTGCCATTCAAACACGAGGTCTGAGTTTTTCAAAATAAAAGTCTAAAAAAACCCTGACGTTTTAACGCGATCCCGAAAGAAGATATTTCTTTCAAATTCGACCAGACGACCGCGTAGCCATTTTTTGCTAACTCTTTTCTGTGTTAAACAATGTCAAATATGCCGTTTCTGCTTTGTAACGTCTAACGACTTTTAGCGATGTGTCTAAAAGCCCATTATTTACTAAAAAAAATGACCAATATATTTATATATTTTTATATATTACTAGTGTCCACAACACAAAAGTCAAGTACAAATATATATAGTTTTACTAACTAGTTACCGTAACTAGCTTTTTTTTAAATATCATTTTATTGTCGTCATTATGTGTTAATATTCACATTCGACATTAGCTCGCGAACTCCTTCACGCAGCTCCGTAAACTCGTAAGAAAATATTTTTCTAAAAAAAAAGAAAACTTTTATTTTGTAAAGCCGCCGCAGTTTCCGGTTGCCCTCCGTCGTGTACGGCTATCTTGACGCAGCAGCAGGGAATCAAACACAGGGGGCTGAGCAGATCAATTCAGAGCCTCGGCGGTTGATCGGGATTCTGCGGCGTCGCTGATTTGCACAATTGGTAAGAAAACGGCGCCGCCGACCGACCGCGTGCGCCGTTCGACGTCGCGTTCGTCCCGCTCTCATGAGTCAGCACCGAGCAGCCGAAGAGAGCGCGAGTGTTGTCCGTGCTCTCTTTGTTCGTTTGCGCCTGTTTGCGGGGTTGATGCGGGGTTTTGTAAATACTGGCGCAAATATGGCGGCGGCGGTGGAGCCACCTGGACGCGTACGGTGAAGATGACGGATCGATCGAACGTAAACTGTGACCTCTAGCTGCTCATCTTCATCTTCGTCATCATCGTCGCCATCCTCTGGCAACACAACAAACGGCAACACGTCACCTGAGAACTCCGTCCGTGTGTGTGTGTGTGTGTGTGTGTGTGTGCGTGTGTGTGTGTAAATAGTTGTTGTTGTTCCAGAAAATTCTACAGTTCATTCAGAGTCAATATACGTGTATGTGTGTGAGTGTGTGTGAGTGTGTTTGACAGATTGTCATGGACATGTGTTGAGCTGAGCCGTGTGTGTATGTGTCATGGGAGTGTGTTTGTGTGTTGTAGAGGATGCTCTCATTTTAAAATGACTATATTTACACTATATATCGCCACGTTTACAAGGGTTGACCTTTGACCTTAGTCGTTCGTCCGTTCACTCGTGGTGTTTATTCCGCGGAGACGGACTGTTTATGATCTAAAAAAACCCCAAAAATATAGCGAGAAATACACAAAAAGCTAATTTTTTCTGGTCACCGATAACATAAAAACGTAACGTTAGCCTACGGCTAGCCTTAAAACTACACCTAAGACAGGTTCCAAAAATTACGATCTGATGTTATCTGCTGTCGAGGAGCCAGTGGGGGGGAGAGGGAGGAAGGGGAAGGGGGGGGGAGAGGGAGGGAGGGGAAGGGGGGGTTCCCCGAGTGGGAGCTGGCGGCAGGTGCGGTGTCGACGGTTGCTGCCACCTTTTGGTGTGACCCACTTTCTACCACAGCGTTTCTCTCCGTCGACGCCTCGGAAGCAAAAGCTAACAAAACTAGCCAAACGTGGGACAGATGGATAAATATTCGAACGAGTTCCATCCGAATCACCTCTCCTCTCTCTCCTCCTCCTCAGGCTCAACCCGTGGTTCCCGCCCCACACCCCGTCAGCTGTGACGTTGCCCCCCCCGGCACCAGCGTCTTCCACCCTGAGCCTGTATGCGGCGTGTCTGGGGTCCAGCCTGAGTTCTGGTGCTCACTTTTTTATTCCCAGCATCCCCTCCCTCCTCTCCTCTCCCTAACCTCCCCTCCCTCCCTCCCTCCCTTCCTCCCTCACCCCTCTCCCCATCGTGCCCCACCCCAGTGTCACACTCCGACAGCCGGCAGCCTCTGCTGCCCCTCACAGGTGGATGAATGAAGACCCCATTTAAGAGCCCAGCGGCCTCCCGGCCCAGAGCAGACGCAGGTGGGGGAGGGTCTCACTGAAGTGACTCAGAAACATTTTTACAGTTTTACACCGTCACTCTCCGACCAATCATGTGTCTGTGTTTGTGTTACATTTCAGGACATGCCGGTGTGTCTGCGAACATGATGAAGAAGAAGAATCCACACAAGTAAGACGGATTTTTTTTTTTACTGAAAAAGTGCAGAAACTACTGCAGTACAAACATAAATATAAATAACTAATAAATAAATAATTGATTTTTTAAATACAGCGGAATTTAATTTGTTTCCCCGAAGGCCGTTCGGGAATCTCGAAAAGTTCGATACGATTTTCCCAATGGAATCAATGTAAAACGGATGATTCCATTCCCAGACGCTCAAACACGCTTTGACTTTTACTGCGTTTTTTTTTTTTTCTCTTCAGGTTTTCCCTCCCTCCCGTCCTCTGTCTCCTTCCTCCTCTCTCCTTGTCTCCTCCTCCCTAACGTTCTGTCGTCCACTCCCCACAGGAAGCAGAGAACCAGCGTTGGTCCCAGTAAGACCTTAGCTACGCCCAAGAGGAGCATCGTCGGCTACAGGATCCAACACATCTGGAAGGAGGGCAGTAAGTAGTGACGATGAGTCCGTTTTGTCCTTCATCTCTGTTTGGACCACGTGTGTTGATCTGGACTCAACC